GCCTTGGAGCTATGTCCGGACTTGCAGCGGTGCAAGTCCGACGGCGTTCTGGTGGGTGATCCCCGGGATTTGAAACACACAGCCAAAGTATTCCCCTCAGCTTCCGGCCATGGTTTGCAATTGTTCAAGAACAGAGAAGTTCATGGACACTCCCTCAACCAGCTTGCTTGGTTGGAAATCCTAGACAGAGGCTCCCTGGACGCTGTTTGACCTTATGGCACTTACGGTACTTCCAGGCTCAGCATCCGTTTGAGCCATCTTCCAATCATCACGAGCACCAGTATAGCGACACCCGTCCCTTGCCAAGGTAATTTGGGTATGGCAAAGCACGTGAACCGCAGGCAAACTTTTGCAGATGGCTGGCTCTTTTTGGTGCCTTTGATGACAATGGCTAATGGCAGTTGGCTTGCCATTCCACGCAGGACTTGAGTCTTTGTTCTTTGTGTGTACTGGGCGAGTCTGTGTCTTTGAAGAATTCCTGGTTCACTTGATTCACTTGAGTTTAAGATTGGTTTCGATTGTAAACTCCACTACACTGCAACTCTTCTGGTTTTTCATTGACCCCGACTCACATGGATGTTATCCATGAGGGATGCACTTCACAGACAAACGCCATAGACTATGGGACTATGGGTATGTCTGGGCCCCAGAAGAATGGCCAGCGCAGGTGTTCTTTTCCAGAAATCTCTGCATGCTTGCATTTTTTTGAGTGTTTTTTTTTCCTGGACTTCTTTGCTTGAAACCACCCTTATGCGTCATGCCATAGTCTAGTTGATCATTGTTTTATCTCGTTTTGATACCAGTGATGTGGAAAGGCAGCACTTTTCAGCCAGCTTCTTGAGGTCTCCCATGGGCTTCCCCAGGTACCACTGTATCTATGAGCCTCCGTTTTGACCAAGAAACCCAAGTATTATGCGCTGCCGAATTCTCCTTTCCACGGCTCCAAGAAAAGCCGGCCAAGCCATACACGACCAGGAAACTCCAATTTGAGGAGTTTCCAAATTCGAGCGACCTCTTGATGAGATTTCCTTTTTTCGCAACGCGCTTTTGGCGCGAGGCAAAACACGCCCCAGGCAACTTTGACGGAGTAGACAAAGCAAAAGGATGCAAAAGGCATTTCAGCAAAGTGGCCGTCAGACAGATCGTTGTTTCTGTTGCCTCAAGTATTCCCAAATGCAGCAGATTCTTGTTGGGTCATGAGCGGCCATGAGGCTCAGAATTTGAAGATGTCTGAAGGTCACTGTCTTCGTTTGCGAAGATAGTTCGCGCCAACATTTGCAGAGAGGTCCGCCAACAGTCGGAGGTGCGCCGTGTCGCAGGAGAGACACCAGGACTGTTAGAGATGAGGGTGGCTTGATTGATGTGCATCGTAAGTCGAACTCTTCGTCTTCAAGTGGAACGGGACATAAGTTGGGACATATGTGGGGTTGTCGACAGAGGGCCAATGGATAGTTCATGGAATTTTCGAGGGCCCTTGTATTAAAGTCCAGGCAATTATGCATGTTCAGTCTAATTCGGGTGGGCAGGCAGAACTCACATGCGGCGGATTTTCGGAAGGTCAAGAGCAAACAACAGAGCCCGCCGTGAGAGTTCAAGACAATACGACAGCTGCACTTATAGTGTGTTTGTTGTGTTTACATCTGAAACAAAAGCCGAATGATTAGTCCCTTCCACCTATTTAAAAACACGCCCCCCTATATTAAGAAACCTCGGGTGCATTTTTTTAAAATAGGGGGTCCCTGAAATCGGGTTGTCCAAAATAGGGTCACTTGGGAAGAGCTTCAAAACCAACAAGTCACCCAGGAACATTTTGTACAAAAACCTCTATTAAACTCGTATCAAAAATTCAAAAAACCTCCGGATCAAAGGGTCTTCCTTTTCCCCCACAAACACCTTTATTAGAGTACGGATTCTTCATTAGACCAACGACTAAATCTTTCGAAAGGTGATGTCGCTGTGCCATGCGGTTTTGCGTGGCCATTGGGGGACGGAAAACCTGCTGGTGTAAACGCGGCGTGTCATGGTGGATAGACAGGGCGGACAGAGGTGGGCAGTTACGGTTGTTTTTGGAACCTATTTAAAACTCACCAAAAATCGGCCATGTTGGTAGGTTAGTAGCGGCCTTAAAGGGCGTTAACTTAAGAACGCATATAAGCATAATAAGCCATATGTAGGGGGCTCCGACATGACTTTTGTTTTTCATTGGGGTCCGTTTTAAATAGGTACTCGGGATTATGTACTGCAAGTTCATTTGGTGGAAAAAAGCCTCGGAAGCTGCTCAGAGTGGATCTCCAGCTATTCTTTGCTGCCTTGTCGAGATTCTTTGTTCTCCGGGGTAGCAGGGACCGTGGTTCCAGTTCGAACAGCGAGCAAAAACTTGTTCGCGCAGGTCGTTTCCTGGAGTGCATCTCTGGGAATGGCCGTGATGGCCCACTGTGAAGGGAAAGAGAGGTCGATACTCCGACGGTGCTACAATGGCTGTGCCTTCGGTTTTGGTCTACTGAGTCATACTGCGTGGGGTCCGGTTGGTAGTTTCAAGAATCCCTTCATCCGGGATGACAAATACCAACAACTCATAGTTGACAGATTGTCTCACCGATGGCTTGCCGCCCAGCTTTTCGGGAACCACTTTTTCTGAGCCCAGAATGATTCTATGAAATCGGGGGAACCGCAACAGACCCAACAAGCAAGAACAAGACTCTTTTTCCGGTGGACACAAAGCCCCCATCGAGTCTCTGGCTCCTAAGTGCTTGCCTTGAGTCGAGCGTGGGCGTCCAGTGCATTTTCACACCGGCCCTACTCTAACGGCCAAGCGAGACCAAGAGAACGTCATGCGTGGTGCATTGTGTTCTATGGCCTGTTTCGGAGAGTGACCAGTAACCACTGTTGCAAACACACCTGAGAAAATCCGAGTTCATTTTCTTAGTAAGGGGATCCGCGATCATGTTATCACCAGCAACCCAACGTAGGGAACCCCCTGATCTATAGAGATCATCCTTGAGTATGGCTATGTCTATAGCCGTTCTCTTGTCCTCTACTTGAGAGTAGGTACACACCAGCTTGTTGATGCAGTCGTATAGCGACCGAGAGTCAACTACGGAGACATAGGGGATGGATGCCAAATGCCGCTCCCAGTCCTTGGTCTCCATGGTCGTGCCCATCAGTTCGAGGAGGAGGTAGCGGTGCCAGTGTATATGGCCAATGCCATGTACCAGCGACTGGCATTCTGCGCTCAGGGTGTTGACGGTCTTCCTTTTGAGCTTTGTTGATTTCCATGAGGTCACGGAAACCATGTGAGGTCGATCTTCGGTTTCCATTCTCTTGTCATAAAAGATCATCACATAGCCTCCTTGGCTGCTGCAATTGAGGAGCTTGAGAAAGGTGTCATTGATCTTTCCATGTTCCAACTCGTGTCCAGGAAGCTGTTTTGTGAAGATGGTCTTGCCGGTCCAAGGTGAGTCCGTCCAAGTTCGGACACTATTTCCTTTTGTCCATTCATCTTCTAGGGCTTCTTCGTTTGTAGTCATCGTTCTGCGACCTGGTTGTAGATCGTGAAGATCTGGTCCTGGGTCGGCTCCTGGATGGAATAGGACTCTTCTGGGAGTGACATGATGTCGAATCCAGTGTGAGGATTTCTCTTCCCAGTAGTCTTGCGAGCTAACTTCCAACTGATCCTGGCTTTTGGCGTTGGACCATGATGCGTCCGTTGCAACTCCGATTCGCAGGTTCTCTGGTTGGATCGGCATGATCTTGATGCCGCTTGAGGGGTGTCTTCGAGCCTCCTGAGTGATGGAGTTTGCCTCGATGATGTCCTTGATACGAGGCTTGGGAAAGACCTGCTGAAGCAGAGCTACTCTTCCGGCCAAGTCGGGCCTGCTTTCCTTGGCAAGCCAGGCAAGGGCGCCGATGCTGGCTCGTAGTTGGGTGATCTCCTTGTCGTCACAAAAGGTGTATCTCTTTTTCTTTCGTTGTTTTTCCAGGTTGATCTCGAAAAGCTTCTCCTGGATGTAGTTCTCCTGGTTCACGATGATGCTCGAGTCCTCTTGCTGAGTGAACATTTTTCCAGTGAACTTTCCTGATCCATACTGGAATTTTCCAAGCTTATATTTCACTTTGATCTGGTCCATAGCTTTTTGATGTTCGTCGTCACCTCCATGTAGAAGGTCATCCGTAGCGACTGCAATGACGCCGCTGAGGATCGGTTTACCAGTGTTTGGACAGTTCCGATGCTTGTAATAGATGCATGGATCTGCTAACGACTGCTGGTAGTGCAGTTGGCTAGTCAGGAACTTCTTGAGATGATTGTACCATGCCAGTGGGCCGTCAGTAGCAAACCTTCTCGAGTTTGAGGAGTTGGCACGGTGCGACACCAGGGATACCTTCACGAGGTGGAGTTGCATAAAGTAATCGCTCAATTGCGTCTCCACTGTGGAATGCCTGGGTGAAGTCCAAGAAGCCGAGCTTCCAACGATGGCTTGCAACCAGTTGGGCGACCATGAGAGTCCCTTCTCTGGTAACCTGAGGCGTTGTTGCCTCGAGGTCCTCGGAGCCTTCTTCACTGAATCCTTTCATCGCGTGTCGGGCCTTAGCCTTGCATGGCTCTTCAGAATCCCAGTCGAGAAGGATCCCTTCCTGTTTGGCTGTTTCGACTTCATGAGGTTCCAGTGGTTTTGGAGTGAGGACCAATCGGCTTTCCATGATTCGATGTGGCATAGTTTGTCGAACCTTTGCTGACTCTTCTGGGGAGACAATGGAGTATGCCCCGATGTTGATGTTGTTGTTGAATTCCTTGCTGATTGCCGTCTTGAAGCATCTTTGATTCTTGACGCTGAGTTCCTGGAGGCGGATTTCCTTTTTCTGTCTTGTTTTCATCAGGCTGTCCACTTTGTTCAGGTAGATCTCCAGGTATTCATGCCTCAGCCGTTTCAAAGGCGGTTGGTCGTGTGGTTCTCCTTCATCAAATTCTCTTTTGTTGTTCTCGTCTATGGTGGGGTGTTCTGCTAGTTGTTCTCCTGGTCCTTCTTCAGCAGGAAGTTCGTCGTGATCTTGTTCTCGCAGATCTTCTGCTGCAGGAGGTTGAGGAAGGTTTTCCTGTGGTGCCTTTGTTCGATACCTCTTTGCTGGAGGTGGATAACCAAGAGGCTCTTGAAGTCCGTCTAGTCCTGGAGCCGTTGGAGGTGCAATCGGTTCATCTTCCGGAGGTTCGGATGGCTCATAGTCCATATCTTCTAGATCTCCATCGGCCAGTTCAGGAGGTAGAGGTTGGTCAGAGAGGTCAAGGAAGCCTCGAACAGGTTCCGTATGGAGGTCCTTTTTGATACTGACAATGTCGTCAAGCCAACCGGAGAGAGCCATGTTCTCTTCGGATGATGCCCTCCGAATGCGTTCCGGACTTGCCTTGACTAGATTTGACTGGTACGCTAACCAGATAGTGCTGGGCTGGTCGATCATGATGATGCGAGCTGGTCCCTGCCAGTATCCAGGTTTGAACTTGAGCTTTTTGTCCGCTCCCATTCGATAGAAGTAGACGAGCTCGCCGATGTCGTAATCGAGGATCGGTCTTGGTCCTGATGAAATAGCTCTCCGCAGGGCGTTGTCGGCGTCGGCTTCGATGAAAGCCTGAGCTGCAGCCTTCCGAAGCTTCATGGATCTTTCGACGCTAAGGTCGCCGACTTTCAATGCTGGAGCATCTTCGCGAGTCCGATGTCCATCATCTCCATTTAGTAGTCCTCCTGGTAGGAATGGGTTGAATCCCAGAACACGTTGACATGGACTGAATCCTCCCACGTTCATCATACGGTTCTTTGTCATGGTGGTGAGGTCTACCATTTCTTCCCATTCCTGCATGTTCCCGCAGCTGTAGGTGTCCATGGTTTTCTGGAGAATGTATTTGAAAGTTTTCCCATGTCTTTCAGTGATGCCTCTTTGATGTGGTGCTTCCACAGCCGCTGGATCTATATAGGTTCCATCTTGTTCAACTTGTTCTGCGAAGGTACCGCGGAATTCACGTCCCAGATCCAGAGCCATTCTTTTTGGAGGTCCGAACAATCTCAGCCAGTGTCTGTAGGCTTCTCGAACTTGTCCTGGTTTCTTGTTGGGCAAGGGGATCATGAGTTGAAATTTGCTTGACCAATCTATCACGTTGAGTGCTGGTCTAGAGCGATTGCCCAAAGTTGGCAAGAAGACCACATCTACCCCAACACATTCGTTGAAGCTGAGTTCCTTGGGCGGCGCACTCCGTCGTGCGGGTCGAACTTGGGCATGTCGTTGACAGACACTACATTTCAGTCGTTTTGCTGCCTCAATGACCTCTGGCTTTGCCTTGGCGTACCTAAGTATACGGGCAAATCGGTCCGGACTTGGATGTCCCATTCCGACATGTGCTCGATGTAAAAGTCGGTCCATGGTGAAGCGACGTTCCAGAGGTAGTGGTGCATTTGGTTGTTCATCGCCTTCCGGTTCATGGTCTCCTTCATCATCCTCACCTCGTGGTTCTTCAGCATGTAGTTCCCATGGGGGGGCCAGGTAGAACGCTTTCGACTTGATCTGATCGTCCTGGATCGGCTTCGCTTAGGTGAAGTTCAGGTCCAGGGACTTGTGGAGCATATAGCGTAGTTCCCTGATCTCCGTCTGGTCGATGTCCTGGGTGTAGTTCATGGTCAGCCAGTAGTTCCACTGTCAGTAGTGAGTTCAGGCGATCATTCTCCAGGAACATTTGTTCAGAGGTGATGATACCTACCTCAGCTCCAATCGAGCGTGAGTAGGCCGCGAGGATGGCTTCCCGAAGACCTTCCGGATAAATCTGTGCTTTCTTGGACTTGTTGCAACCAATGATGACTTCATGTTGATGGTTGCCAGGGCATAGAATGTTCAGGGCCTTGGCGATCTCGGGGCTGTTGGTGGCGAAACCAGTCCGTTTTCTTTGGGGTTGGCCAGATTCTCCACGGAGTCCGTATTGGCATTGGTCGGCCTTCGTGTACACTACGTTCGGTTTGGAAAGGAGCTGCTCCATGGCACGGTGTTTCCAGGAGGAGGCAGCGTGAGGATGTTCCAAAAGGAACTTGATGCCCAAGTGATCGCATAATTCGCACAACTGCAGAGCAAACAACAAGAGCTGTTCTCCTTCCGACTTCCTCTTCAAATACTTTTGAAGAAGAGCAGGAACTCGTTCTCGTTTGTTTTTAGACAAGTTTTGCAACTGTGAGTACATTTCACATGGTGGTGCAATGCAAACCAGTCCAGGCCTAACATCTTTCACATACTGCACGACTTCGTTTCGTTTGTTTGCTTTCAACAAATCACAATCCAACTTCAAGTCAAAAGCACGCCCAGAATTGAGGTTGAAGCGATGTGCAATTTCTCCAAAACAACCGGGATTATAGATCTCAGCCACAGTTCTAAGTTGTTTACGTGAAAGTCCCATGATTTCAGCAATCTGATGTGTCCTTTTTGATCCGTTAGGGTGCAGAGTAAACTCCTTGCAAAGTTCATCATTAAAGCTGCAAATCCAGTCTCGCAGTTTCGCATCTCCATCCTGCGTTTCTGCGAGGATGTACTGGATCTGTTTCCAAAAAGCCACAGCCTTCTTTAAGGCCGCCCGGAGCTTTCTTTCAAGCTTTGGGGTCATTGGCTTGAAGGGCCCTTCATTCGGCGCCAGCGCAGGAAGTCCATGAAGTCCTGGTAGTCCTCCGGTTCGGTCATTCCTTCCTGAGGTGATGTAGGCGTTGGAGTTGACGGACGAGGTGGTGCCTCTGAAGGGCTGCTGGGAGAAGCCGTCTCCGTGACCACAGTCTTCTTTTCTTGCCGGATCACCTTGTTGCAGTAGCGGCAGGTCACCTTGGTCAGGAAGGCGTTGGATCCCTTCCGATGAGTTGATGAGTGTGGACAAATGTCCTGAACCATTCCCTCCAGCACCTCTGCATAGGACTTGGGCTTCTCGCCTGGTTGTTGGCGGTATTTCCAGCTGGTCACATCTTTCAATGGCTGGCATGGGACCCATTGTTTGAACTCGCACTGTTGTCCCGGGTACTTCGGGCACCGGAAGTAGAGCTCCTCCTCGTGGTTGGTCTCTGTACTCAGGTGAATCTTCACCTGTAGGCCGCATCGGCAGCGAGGTCGGGGTCCGGTCAGTATCTCGATGCATGGTAGGCTGTCGATCTGGTCGCAGCGCTGAGTTCTCACCAAGGTCGCACTCAGAACCTTCTTCTGTGATCCGTCCGAGTGTTGTTCCGGATCGCTGATCATGACGAAATTGTCCGACAACTCGACACGACGTTTCATCTCGTTCTTGGCCATCTTGGTCACGTGGTGGAGGTCCTCGTCGGACATGCTCTCGATCAGGCGTGTCAGAACTCGGCGTTGGGACTGTGCTCCCATGATGGTCTCCAAGAGATGTTCGAACAGGTACTGCAGTGGCATGAGCACAACCAGTAGCCGACGAGTCAATTGGGTCCAGGCTTTCACAGCCTTGTCCTCCGGATTCAAGGTCTCCGGTGGAGCAGGTAGGCTGCGCTTCTGGCCGGTGTTCTGCATGGCAGGCGAAAGAAACCGATGAGATCGATGCCGGGATGTCTTGAGTTTTGTCGGGCTCCGGCGGTTTCATGCACTGTTCGTTCAATTTCAGGACCTCGAATTCCGGGAGCGAAGTTCCTAACTGCTCGGATTGGGCTCGTTGAAGTGCAGTCAGTTGGAGTTCTGTGAACTGTTGGAGTGGAATTCGAAGGGCTCCGGTCGGTCCAAGATGTAAGGGGACTGGTTCGTGGCTCCCGCGAAGTCGGAGCTGGAGACCTTTCTCAAGACACAACCCTATGTCACCATGACAATGAAGGAGGAAGCTGAGGGACAAGAGGAACGGTGCATTGGTGCTCTCGTCGCTGTCGAAGACCGCTGGTTTCAGGAGACTGCCTTTCAGTCCCAGTGAACTGGGAACACTGGCTACCTGGGTGGTAATCGAGGTTTTGTGGACGCTCCTGAACTTGTTGGTCTCGGGATGAATGGTGATCTTCAGGCCAGGTGGTAGATGTTCACTGAACTTCCTCAGGGTCGTTGCTCCAATTGCCAATCTCTGGCATCCAGTGTCAACGGTGGCGCATGTAGCGTCGTCGGGGGTTAGTTGGGAGTACTGGGATACCAGATCGCAAAACATGTTTTCATAGAAAAACAAACTGCTAACACCCAAATAGCCGTTCTCACCTATTCCCAAACCCAAAACCATGTCACTCTCCGTATATGACCGAGCGGTCGAGCAGTGGTTCGAGGCAAAAGCTACATCTGTACAATCTGCATGGCCTTCGAGTGAAGTCCTCAGGATGCGCGGTTCAGGTGTTCTTGTCCGGGTCATCTCAAAAGGCGAGGAGCTGGCTGGTACATTGCTGGAGAGGTTCTTGTCGATGAACTCTTCCGTCTCCAGGCTGCCCACAAAATGCACCTCGGGTGTGTTTTCCAAAAGGTGGGTCTCGTTCGTTCGAGATGTGCCCATCGATGAGGAGCTGCCTGGTTTCATGGGAGGGTTCTTGCAATCTCGTTTCCAGTGGCCGATCTGGCCACATTGTCGGCAGCGGGTCCTCTTCTGCAGCTCGGCAATCGTCACGGAGTAGGATCCTGGTCGTAGAGGTCGGTCTCGATCTCCCCGAGTCGAACTGAAGTTCGGTCGTCGACCAACTCCATAGCCTCGGGCGAGTTCCTTGGTTTTCTTGTCCTTGATCGACTGAGTATAGGTCTTCCTCTGCTGGAGGTAGGTAGAGAGGATCTCGGCCGCCTCCGATTCACTCAGGGCGGTCTCTTCTGATTGCCCTTCATCCTGGAGCTCCATGATGTAGCGCTCGATGTTTTCGATCTCCTCCTGGTCGGTGCCATTACCCTCATTGACCTCCTCAGTGGCATAGACTCCGTCATACTCAGTGTGGAAAGCGCCGGCTGCCTTCTTCCGGTCGGCCCCAAGCTCTGAGGCAGACAACTTTGTTTCATTCTTTCTCAACCAGCTCTTGATGGAACTGGGCTTGATGCAGCCGTGAGTGTAATTCAACAAGGCCTTGGTATCGCTCTCGGTCAGCTGCAGCCCGTTGATCATCAAGAAGCCTTCATACTCGGGTGGAAGCACGATCTTGTGTTGTTGAACTTTCCGAATGGCGTTGTCCCACTTGGCGAAGTACTCCCTCCAGGACTCTGTCTTCTGCCTCCGGAGGTGGTAGGTGATGCGGGACATGGCCGTCAGCATGTGCTCCTGCTGGTCATCTCCGAAGCGTTCAGGCTTATCCATGTCTTCAAGAAGACGTTCAGCACCTCGTGGATCTCCGAGCCAAACAGGATCTTTTGCCCAGTGCTTGTAGAGCTCGAAGGGTGCTCCTGTCAACATCTTCAACAAGAGAGGCCCTCGCGACTTGGCCTTGTCCTTGGTCGTCGCGATCCATAGTTGGGCCTTGATGTGATAGTCCTCGAATGGGGTCTGTCCATCCCATGATGGTGGAGGTCCGGAAGCCCCTCTTCCTTCTCCACTATCATCACCTTCTTCTTCTTCTCGCTCACGACGGCGCCTATGACGTGTCGGACCGCGGCCTTCTTCTCTCTCCATCTGGAGAAAGCGTTGGAACCGAGCGAAGGCTTCCCGGTCACTCCCTAAAACGTCCTGCGCGCCCTGAGCCCCCGTGGAGCCAGCAGCTGGCGAGCCGCCGCCTGGCGGTTCATCCAAGTCGCCATCCGAAGGTGGAATGGCCTGTCTATCGGCCATTCGAAAACCTAGACGGGATGGGGGCTGGTGACCACCAAGAAAAAGAGTCGAACCCAAACCAGCCCGGTCGGAACCGGGCTCCGCTACCACTATGAAATCGGGGGAACCGCAACAGACCCAACAAGCAAGAACAAGACTCTTTTTCCGGTGGACACAAAGCCCCCATCGAGTCTCTGGCTCCTAAGTGCTTGCCTTGAGTCGAGCGTGGGCGTCCAGTGCATTTTCACAGATTCATATCCCACCCAAGAGACGATGCGTACTCAAACTGATGGTTTTGTGGGATTGTGCAACATGAAAGACCAATGACAGCTGGCAACAACAGAAAGTATGTAATGTAGACTCTTGATGAATAAGAAACCCCTGTTTGGATTGAACATTCTCTTTTTTAACGGTGCTGGGGGGGCTGCAGCTTCTCAAATATATATACCTGGAGTCTGGAGTGTGGAGGACAGATGTCACAGTCCGGGAATCCGGAGAAGCAGCTGTTGTCCGATTTTGGCCGCGTAGAAAACGAAGCACTGAGGAGAAAGACTTTTCTCTTCCTGCGCAGGCACTGTGGTTCTAGGAAGGCTGCGAAAGCAGCCATGCTTCCTGCAAGAGCAGCAATGCAGTTGCACGGAGACGAGTAAGCAAAGCCCTAGCGGGCTCCCCGAGCAGCTCGTTCGATGGATCATAAGTCCTGGGTTGCACTTGCTGACAGGCAAGTCCTTGATCCTGTGGTTCTTGGATGCGCCTTAAGATCAGGATGCAATGATACATCATGAACATACAGTACTTTTCTGTTCAAGCAACCCGGTGCTACAGTTGCCCGGCGAACGGGGTTTGGGTGCGGATAGATTGCTGGGGAGGAACTACTGCCCACAGCTGACTGCCCGAGTTCTTGATCGAAACGTGTCGCAAGGGGGCCACGATTGCCGTTTTGAGATGTCCGATGCCCGTTTACCCTCGTTTCTCACTTGTTAGATTTGTCGTGCAAAACGAAGCCTGTTGTTTTGCCAAGGCCTTTCCTTTGCAGGCGCCCTTTGTGCTACATTGACATGTGCAATGTCCACGCAGTAGCCCTCCAACCAGAGACCCTTCCACTGAGCATCTGCCGACGTGCCTATGATGGAGGTAGAATTCAACATAGAACGGTCAAGGAATCTATCGAGTCTTTTGCATTCTATATCTCAAAAAAATCAAATCTGGTTCATTTTTTTTTTGCCTATCAGACGCCTTTCTTTGTCCGTCCGTTACACCATGTTTGCTCAGGAAGGTGGTCGGTCTTTGTCTCACAATCAACCGAAGTGGAGAGATTCTCAGTCCCTGATGAATACATGGGTCTGTAGCAAGAGTCTCCATGGTTGAGCCGAGCCCTAGAAACCGCCTGAACCGAAAGCGTCTCGACCGGCAGCTTAGCTACCGAGTTGGACGTTTTTTGTGCGGGAAAAGAACGCATCGAATCGAGTGAGGCAGACGATGGGCGACAGTGACAGGGTCACTGCGTTGAGAGTGGGTGTTGCATAGCTTCATGATTAGTCCGATTCCTGTAAAGGAGGCTTTATGATGCTTTATGTATAAATAGAGTAGTCATGGAGTCATGGAGTCAAAGATGTCAAAGAGCTTCTTATGATCATGCCTCATGTCCTCCCATGTCCTCTCATGTCCTGTACCCGTCAACCAAACGGCTTTTTGATGGTTTAAGATGGTTTACAGTAAGACTCCGGACCAGGCGTGACTGGTATCACATGGTATCACTCTGAAACGTTTGCCCTCTGCCATCGTGATGTTTGCAATTTTTTGGTCCTGCAGAGAGGCGATGAGTTAATCAGCATAATAGGACGTTTTCAGGTCCAGTGCCTTTCAGCGAACATACATATATTCTTTTTGAATGGTGTGGAACGGTTGAAAGGCTTCAGCAGGTCACGGGCAGTCAAGTGTCATTTCGCAACCGTTTTGTGTTGGCCGAATCTCGACCGACCTTCTGTGGACCCTAAGTAAGCGACCTCCATTGGTCAAGAGACGATGGATTGACGAAGCCAAGCCCACTGGGGTTGGATGTCGCTTGTGGTGGGCTCCAGCATCCTGCGGATTCCCGGCCTGCGGCCAGGCAAAATGCCCAGCCAGAGGTAGCGGACATGATTGAGATGATCCTCATTTGGATTCGATACGACCAGAGGAAACTAGATTGGTCAAATGACTTGTTTGACCAGAGGACATTGAGCTTTCACCGAAAGGGTCAATCAGGTTGGCAACCCTCCCGGTGGACAAGCACAGTCAAAAGGCTGGGTCGAATACCTGCTTGGCAAACACCAAAAGTGTCTCATCCACCGGCCCAGTCGGTGTTGTTGGCTCATCCCGAGAAATGTTCCAAAGAAAGCATCTTCTGGATTCACCCGAACCTTGGTTGTAACACCCAGCACGGCTTGGGCCAGTCCACAGTCCCATGGCACTACGTTTAGCTGACCATGAGGCGCTCTTCTTTGCTTTTCTTCTGGGCAGGGAAGGGCGGGCAGTTGGATGCGAACGAACATCCTGAACGTGGATGGGTCAAATCAGCCTGGCTTGAGGTGAGTGCCACTTCATTTTTCCCGTTGGAGACACCACATGATCAACAATGATCAACCGATATCAACTGTTGCTGCTGGGACAACATCGAAGTTGAATCACAGTTTTTTCTTTGCATAAACACCAGATGCAGAGCTGGTGTATGCTGATGTCATTAAACAAACATCATATCATCCAAAGCAACTCATGTTTTCGCCTTTTTCCCACAAAGGGAAAACACACCATGGCGGCATGCATTGGCAGCGTCTCCCTTCTCGGGTCCAAGCCGCCCGAAAGCCAAAGAACGAGATCTCGGACCAACGAGATCTCGGGGGGGCAACGTCGACGTCTTCATTCTTTCTATCACACCAGATAGGACCCTCCAAAGGATCAGATAGGACCAGCCTATCAAAATTGGCACCTTTTTTTTTCACATTTTTCACCCGATGCTTGGTCTTTGAGATTCAGTCAACATGGCACCTTTTCCATCCTTTTCGCTTGGCATACTTATATAGCACCTTTACATTCCCTCCTCGATTTCCAACATAGGACCTGAGACCCCGGGTCCAACCTGTCGAACCAGGTCCGGCCTCCAAAGTGCCCCTCTGCGTCGCTGCTCTTAGAAGGGTCCGGGCGCGTCTGGAGATGATTCGATTCGTTTTTTTGGTTGGAGGATCTAGATGGATTTAGTAAACTGCGAACAGATACAAAAAAAAGGACTTCCCCATAGTTCCTTACTGTAACATTACGATTCAGGACTTGTTATTTTTTCGTATTTCGTAGGCGCCTAAAGGACTGTAGGATGTTCTTCATCCTACCGGACCATTCCAAAACTCTTGGTGGCGATGATTGGGGGGGGGGGCAATGGCTGCACTCTTTGGGCAGACAGCAACAGCAGCAACCTCAAGGCTGTAACACCTTCAAGCTGGTGTCCTGGATGTCGATAGCCCCCAACCCTGAGAATCGGACCCGTCGTGGTTTCGACCGGTTCGACCGTGGTGGTGGAAGACCTGTAGAAGCGACCCGTGGTTTTGGGGTTCCAATGTGGACCTCTGCAGGAGTAAACAGCAGTGCACCTTTAGTAATGCATCTGATGATATCTGATGCCTGTTGATGCACTTTGGAATCCATGTTGGTTGCGGTCTGAACCCGTCTTTGAACAGCAGCCACAACGTTTGACCAGTCCATCCACTTGTGGTGACTTTGATTCAGGGAAAATACATGTGAACGATTGGAGCTGTCCATTCGTATGACAAGAACACTTGGAGCCTGGGAGCGTCTAGTTCATGGCCCTTTGTCTTTCAACATTGCTTGTAGGCTTCTACAGCTCTGAGGGCCCATCGGTCCCCCTCTGCGCCTCCATGGGCCTCCCCGTGCGAGCCCTCTGAGGCCATCACTGGGTGGGCGGCACGTGCCCATGCCCAGTGGGCCTATGGCACCCGCCGTGGCGCAGATGAAAGGATCGCTGCAGCCGTGGCGTTGACTGAAGGGGAGCGAAGGGGACCGAAGAGCACTGGGGGAAGGACCAGGGAGTTGCTGTGAGGGAAGAGCTGAAGGAAGATTTCCTGGTGAAGAAGCGTTCCTCACTAAAGACCCCATTAAGGGGCCCAAACACCTTCTTTCCTTTAAGCTGCGTACGTATCATAAGAAGATCAATGACCCCGCCTTGAGTTGGAATTGATGTCTCTTTATAGTTGTTTGCTCGAGCTTGCCACACGCACACACAAACACACATGCCAATCTTTCCACACGACGTGCCTGGTGCACTGGTGCATGTCACAGGGACTTGTGCTACCTGGACCTGGACCGTTCTTGCCGAGGATGTCGAAACGCTACGACGTCTCCTGTGAGATCCTGGGGCGGGAAACTGGAAAGCCCAGACCGCAGCTGCAGGCGATCCTCAAGTCTATGAGGCGAGGAATGAGGATTTTCCACCAGTGCGAGGAATGAAGGGTTTGATCTGCGTAGGGCTCTATTCAAGCTATTCTCGACCACAGGTTCGAGTTTGGAGTATTGCTGAAGATGATTGAAGCCGAAGTGCAAATCAGTCACAGACCTTCTTTCAGCCAACACCTTTCACGTCTCGTTCATTTCTCAGACGCCCTCTCGTTCATGTCTCGAAGTCCTCGGTGGATGCTTCCGATCCTCCCGCTTGGACGCCGGACCGACGCGGGGACCGACGCGGGGACCGAACCGGGACCGAGTCCGCCAGGCGCCCCATCCACGAGATCCACGGCCTGGACGCAGAGCACTGGTACGCCGCTGTGGACCGTGCCCGCTCGGCGGCGCCTCGGGCCCGGACCGGTCGGTGCGTTCGGGCCCTTCATTCGGTCGGTCGCAGAAGCGAGCCGAAATCGGAACGGAAAGGTGGGGTGACCTTTTTGCGGCATTTGGTCTACTGCGCGGGTTCATGGGATTCGGAGTAAAAATGAAGGAGAACCATGGATAACCCTGAACACTCTGAACACTGGACACCTCGAAGAAGAGACAGATGATGCGATTCGGAGTCCGGAGGGTGAAGCCTCTCACCAAGGATTTTTAGTGTGTGTTTCGTTCCGGCTTGCTTTCGTGGTGGATTCAATTCTTCAGGCTCACTGGGGCGGCTGAAGAGAGAGTTAATAAGGTGGAGGCTGTGAACTTCTTGTGCTGAATGCAACTCTTGATGACAATTCATGGAACACCTTGGGAGATCTGGGGAGCTGAGCGGCATTGAACTTGATCGAATGGTGTCCGAGGAAAGGAGACGACGTGGTGGAGTTGATAAGAGACCCGTTCCCTCCTGGAACTTCAGAGGCTATGAGTCAGTGCGCGCAAACGGAGGAGGCAGTTGCTTGCTGTATGTAGTTGGACCACCCAAGTCTCGTGCGATGTGCAGAATTTGATGCCGGCATGCCCAGGTATGATACATGATGAAATTCACGAAGGTTTGTTACACACAGTGGTCTCGAGTCTCAATGGATTTGCAATCCGTCCACACACACATGGTTTCACGCCCGGTACCTGTCAATCACTAGCTAGGGGCATGCTAGTCCACATGTCGGTGCGTCAGCTGCTCGATGAGTTTGGGAATGCACGGAGCCGGCTACCAGCTGGCTATTGACAGTCTAAACTTGGCTTGATTGTTGGCGACTGCTGGTTGTTGGAGTAAACTTTTGTCAGGACTTTTGTGCAAGCTGTGACATGATAATTCACCACCGCTTTACAGGATAATATACCTTGAGTATCCTTCAGTAACAGCCATTCCTTTCCTCACAACCCATTTTACTTTCGCACCGCCAACGTCTCAAGACGTCCCGTTTCGAAGCGTTCGCGGGCTTTTTCGCCGTCACGTCGAGACGTCCACCCACTGGGTGTGCAGGTGGGGGGGCCATTGAAGCCTGTACCTGCAGGAGGGGACGTCGAGCACAGCAAGTGGTCGTTGCGGACGAATCGCCCGAACCTCCGTGGATCGGCGAAGTCGTGACGGAGTGGGTCTGTCGGAGGACGACTCCGAGATCTCAGAGATCCCAAACTTTGAGACATAAGGATACATGAGGTGCATTCCATTGCCAGCAACAGTCGGTAAAAGATGATCCAGCAACGGCATGGATTCCGGACTTTAATTACTTGCTAGAATGATTCATCCACTGACCCCTGTAGTAATATACCCATGTAGAACACACTCTTTGAATCTCTTTGAATCTTTGAAGTTTCCACCTCCACCCAGGTGAGTCATTCGCCGATGTTGGGACTTCCCTCGTTCCCTCGTTCCTTCAATCCCAAGTCATCGGTGAAATTCGATGTGAACCAGGACACTCTCCCGACAGCGAGCTTCCAGCAGTCTCAGTGCGGCGGCAAAGAAGGGCCAGGGCTGGGTCGTCCAGTGAGCAGCGGTCAGTCTTCAAACGGACGACGCATGACGACGCACATCTAGGGTTTTTTTGATGTGTGCTTTGTCTAAGGCACCAGAACTCGACTTCTGTGAGACACCATGGTTTTTCAGACCCGAAGTAGCCGGTATCTCAATTAGTCTTAATAAATTGCAGAAATTGGAGGATGTGTTCTGTTAACATGGGTTTTGGTATGTTTTGGTCAACATCATACTTGCTTAGGGTCAAACATGGACTTTGGAGTACGAGTCAGAGGAAGTGCAGATCTCATCACATATCCACTTGGTGTCCAAATTCTCAAACACACAGCCTTCTCGCCCCAATCGTTGGCGTTTCGGTAATAAATTGTTAGTATATGTTGTGTGGTCCCCAAGGTGCATCGCTACTAGCAGCAAGAAGCTACTAGGGGCGCTCCTGGCATTACTAGTAGCTAGAAGCCACCAGAAGCAAGGAAGCTACCAGTTCCTCATGGGCCCAATTCCACCAGGTCGGTGACCGGTCCACCCGATCCGATCCGAACTCCGGTCGTCCACGGCCCGGCCCGGACTCAGCTTCGTTGGAAGCTCTCCGAGCAGCTGCAGCGGCAAGCGGAGCTGAAAGCGAAGCTGTGGCGCGTCAGCAGAGCGAAGGAGGGAAAGATGGGACCATAATGGACCATTTGAGTGACATGTGGGTGGCGGTGGGAGCATATGAGGACCTTGGTGATGGCCCCCCACCCTGAAATGATTTATTGTGAAGCATGATGCAAGATGGTGCAAGGACATGCGCGAGCAGCATCCCTCGTGGCTTGGCGCCTTTTCCTGGGGTCTCAAGGATGTCTCTCCAGGACTTGGACACCAGGGAGATTGGCGTGTTTACTCCAGAAGTTTAGAAGCAGCCGCAGGCCACAGCTTCAACACCAGAATCCCATAGATGAGGAGTGGCGAAGCCGGGATGAACATGAAGCCGGGCCGCCCACCCGAACAGATTGACCCAATGCATGCGGCAATCACCTGAACCTGTTCAACGTGATGTAGACTTTGGAACAGCGGGGCTATCGATTTCCAGTGTACCGCTGGGCAAGTCCACTACAATGGTATCATGCCAGATACTCAGTCTGACTGAAGCGCCTGACATGTAGGATTCCCATTACATTCGCCAGCCTCAGATTGATCACTGATCGCCCTGGGTCGTACCCGAACCATGACGAGGTCCTCGGGTCACCGAAAGGACCGAGCCATGCACCGACCGTTTCACGGCTTGAGGCGGGAGTTGGAGGAGCCCAACGAGAGGTCGGCAGAGCACACACAAGGGCGGGGGACACAAGAAGATCAACGAGGTGCCATACCTACAAGGGGGTTCATATTTCAGCTTTCACCTTTGTACCATGTTGCATGCGCAGTGCACCCAAGTAACTAGAAGCCGTCGTGGCCTGGTCTTTGGACACGTCGCTGGGATAAAGGTTCCAAGGGACAAGATGCGAGAAGGCTTCTCAAAGTTATACTGTATACTGTATATGGACTGCACTCAAAAAGCCCTACTCAAGAATTTTAGATAAACGTAAACTTTTAGGGTTGGAGATGAGTTTTAAGTCTTCGTTTAGAAGCGGGCCCCCAGCAGACTATGGTGATACAGCAAGGCAGTGCTAGATTGGCGCTAGGTTGGCGCTAGGTTTCTTCATAACAGGATAAGCAAAGAAGAAACAAGCAGAGAGCAGGAAAAAGAAGAAACAACACAAGAAAAAGGAAAAACAAAGAAGAAGAAGAAGAAGAAGAAGAAGAAGAAGCCGAAGAATGCGCAACAAGAAGAAGACAAGCAAGCAGGAAAACTAAGAACCTGACAGGATGAAGAAATCGACGGAGATTTTTGCGCTAGGCTGGCGCTAGATCCGCGCTAGCACCGCGCTAGACGACGGTCCATTTCTTGACCATCTGCCCATCCAACACCTGAATGTTTTGAGTCAGCTCTTACGTCCTTCCTATGTCGTTTTGAAGACTTCTGAGAATTGGAAACAACTGCAAAGTCTAGCAGCAGCAGTAGCAGCAGCAACAACAGCTCCAGCAGCTCAACAGGCCCCTGAAAAGGTCCGCGCTAGACACCTCTCACAACTTTTGCAGTTGACATGCCTTCATATTGAACATCCCTGTGGTTTGAGTGTGGTTGGAGTTTAAAGGAGAATTAGAAGCGGGCCCCCATGGAATTGCGATGAGTGCACCATTTTGGGAAAAGACATTTTGGAAACCAACCATATGTAACTTATATAATTGATTATAATTGGTTGATTTAGCTTCGACAAGATCAATGTATTTGGGGAAGGGTCAACACCGGGGTGACTCCACAGGTAAAATGTTATCCATCCTGATCAACTATCAACGAACCCTGATCGCTCGATGCCTTCCTTTCCCATGGGTCAGGTTGGAGACCATGGGGCCAGGAGCAGAGGAGTGGGGCAATAGCGTCGACACTGGGATCCTGGAGCAGTGAACAAGGGATCCATCGTTAACAACTGTTTTCAATGATGTTGCGACCAACGCCCACAGGTTCTTTTTCAACTTGAGAATTTGACATTTTGAGCCACAGGCCAGCCAGCTTTTTCTGGAGATTGTGATTGCTGGGCCCAATATTGTCAAAATGTATGTCATAATCTGTGTTCTCAGAGAGCTAGGAAGGGTTCAAATTCTGAAGCTGGGCACTGGTGAGTGGCGTGACTTGAAGGTTTCTGTTCCAAAAGAGCAGCTAGAAGGAGCCATCAGCAAACTGCCACAGAAGAGCTGCCCTTTCAAATTTCTGGTGTGCACGATTGATTCAGCAAACAGTGCCATCATGGGCCATCTCCATTCCGCAAGTCCGGGAGAACCAGAAAAGCGAAGTGAACCGATCCCACACAACTGTGCCAGGAGAGCGGGGGAATTTCCGACCTCCCAACACGCTCAACCACAGGTTTCTCCGGTTCGACCGTTTTGGGCGCTGCAGATGACGCTTCGAAGCGACAGACGTGCCTCAGGAGGTGTTCCCCACGTCATTCTCTCAAATGGATGAGGCGGGACCCGACCGGACCGCGATGGCGAGAAGCAAGATCCAGATGAAAGGAGTTTGACTGCCTGTTCAAAGGGAGTGGAATCAACTGAAAAGAAGGACCTTGAATATATAGTACCCCAGAGGTGCACATTGTGCCCATTATCTCCCACAGTCGTAGTGGCAACTGGCCATCTGTGTTCTTTCGATCGATTCAACATCCAGGCCCAAAATCTACACCTGGTATACCACAGTATACCCCAACCAAACCTAGGACGAAGCGGAAATTGTAGCTACAGTATTCTACCCTCCCGGACTCCCCAGACTCCAGACAATCATTGACAATTGAAGGTGAACATGGCCTCTTCAAAAGGACTGTCAGCTTCCACTTGCATGATTGCCGTAGAACGTTCCGGGTCGCCTTCTCAGTGTTCTTGTTTTTCGAACAACCTATATATTGAATCTATTTCAACTATAAGAACACACATGAGACACCTTAGATCGGAGACACCGAGCGAGCAGCTTCTCACTAGGGGTTGACTGCACCAGAGACAACCAAAAAT